GTTGTTCACCTTCCTTTAAATGCCTTGAATTTCATGCTTATTCTTATTTCTTGTGATTACTTGTTCATTAAAGCGATACCTTGACCTTTTCTTTGATTTTGGAGGATAACTAAGTAATTTCATTCCGTTAGAGCCCCACTTCAAGGGAGGTACCCCCTATCCCTTACTTCTTACTTTATGTGACCCTACGTGTCCTATATGACTTTACATGTTTGATTGTATGCCTCTTGAATGTTTTATTCATTTCATTCATTTGCTTTATTGGCTTTGTATATTTATTTTAGTTCAATTTGATCATTTGGAAGGCACTTGAATGCCAAATTTGTAATAGTTAGGTATTCCTTTTTATTATTTATTTTATTTCCCCTTTTAGATTGTAGAGGGTTCCTCGAGTGTAATAGTTAGGGTTTTATTTGCTTTATTTGCCTTGTGTGTTTTTGCATGCCTATGTGTTATGTGTTACTCGCTTTCCTAGGGTCTTGCATCTAGATATCATGCTTATGTGTTATGTGCTATATGTGATTTATGTGTTTATTTTGCTTTATTAGCTTTTACATGATTTATTTGATTTGTGATGATTGTGTGACGTCACCACACTAGTCCAACGCTAGTTGTGGCCTCCTTTCCCGAATCCAAACTAGTCCAACGCTAGTTGTGGCTCATTGTTCCGATTTTCCACTAGTCCAATGCTAGTAGGAATTCATAGATATGGGCTAGTCCAATGCTAGATCTTTAGGAACCTCCGACGCTAGATCATGTTTGTATGACTACATTACATTCTCATGCATATTTTTCACTTTTTAACGTCTTTTCTCATTTTTTGCATGACATCCCTCCTTATACATATATCCCTTTCCCCATATTTTCCCTTATATGTATATTACTTACCCCTTTGCATGAAACATGACATTAGACTTGCATTTCATCTAAGTATTAGAACTAAATTAGTACATTTGCTTGATTAGACTAGGAAAAATCCCTTGGATATGGGATATGGACGAGTTTGGCTTCTCTAGCCTTAGCACGCTCGTATTCCCTCTATTAAAGGGAACATGGAAAGTCACGAGTATAAGTCCCCCACACCCATCATAATGCATTCCTTTAGATCATACACATTTGTATATTATTATTTTCTTTACTTCTTTTTTCTTTCGAGTCTCATGACTTGCATTATTCGTGATTTCTTCGAAGAGTCTTTATTGGGCGTCACAATCAATGTGATTGGTACCAAGTAAGTTTTGAAGATACATTTCAACCCCTCGATACCCTTTTAGGGCTAGGGTTTGCATTCATATAGTATATCCAAAATGTGATAAATCTTTAGGTTAAAAACGAGAAAATCTTTGACTAAATCGCGCAACTAGCCTTGGCTAGGTTGAAGGGTGCCTTGGATTCTTATCCTTGCCTTTCCTTTCTTCAAATGTAACTCCCGAATCTTTTTCTCTGATTTTCGTAGACTTGGAGTTGTTTGAAAAGGGTTTTTCTACTTTTTTTTCTTCTTTCTTTCTTTAAAATTCATTTTTAGGTGACTTGGTACACCTTAACTCTATACCAAGTGACGACTTCATTTTTTCATTCAAAAAACCCTTTTTAAACTATATTTTGGGTCAAATCGTCGTATTTTCAAGTTCCATTTAGACCCATGTTTTTTTTCATTTTCTTTTTAAATCAAAAATTCATTTTTCAATAAAAAAATTGAATCAAAAGCCTTTTTTTTAAACTCGTCTTTTATTTAAAAAATGGGGCGCGACAGAGAGAATAAACATACCTCTCTAAATAGCTGCTCCAAATGCAAACTACAATCATTTGAACCAACAATCTTTAGTATTAATAGCTTCCATTATTATATCCAAAAGAAACTGCCCCACAAATGCAAAAGAACTCGAAGGCGGCTTCAATTACACTTGTAACGGCCAAGAAATCTGATCCTTCACCTATTACACGCGTTTATTTTCACAATGACCTTCACCTTCGAAATTATTACCAAATTATTGCATTTTCAAAATTTATTCCTTTGTTAATTTACTTGTTGCCACGTTGTCCTCTTATATTCTTTCTTTATGAGAGTCACAATCCGCATCGATTGTTAATGACATTTCAATAGTTTAAATTTTACTACTTATGACAATCTCAAAGGTAAATAATAGATTGGCTCATATAATAGTGTGTTAACTCGGGTACTAATAATGACCTGGTTATATTCTCTTTTCTCTCTTTTTTTTTAAAAGGTTTTTGTTATGAGTCCAAAAATGCAAGAGAAATTTTTGTTAATTATCTTTTCCCTCTCCAGTGGAATATTTGCTGTTCACAAAAACTGTGATATCACATATCTTGAAACGCTTACTCGTGTGTCAAACAATTTGAATTTTTATAAACTTCTTAAAATGTACAAAGTTAGGAGACCGCCATATATAAAATTGCATGTTACAAGAAAAAAGAGAGGAACTTGTAATATTTTGATAAAAAATAATGCTAAGTAGGAATAATGGTAGGAAAAAAAAAATTCCTCTGCAAATTTGCCATTTAGGGGGTGGTCGATACTTTGAAGCACTAATTGTAAACCCACTTTCCTTTTTCAATTTGCTTATAGAATGTCCTTAGGGCACCAAACAAAGAAAAATCATGTAATATATGGAAGGAAAGATCTACAAGTGATTCTTTTCCTTTGATAGGGAGCCTATGTGGCAATAACTAAATTAACAAGGGAATAAAAATTGAAAGAGCATTACTTTGGATTATTTTTTAAAAAGTAGGCTATTTTAGCCAAAAACTCCCTATTACACATTAAAATTGTCTTAAACATGATTCAATTATTGATTTGAATGAGACCTATTATTTCAATGAGTTTTATTAGAAATTACAGGTTTCCGCTGATTTTTAAACTGATGGGCAATGTTTTGAAAACTGGACCGGACCGGCCGGTTCGACCGGTTGAACCGCGAACCAGCCATGGCACCGGTCCGATTCAATGTCATAGTTGACTTTGTCAGAAAACCGGTCAAGAACCGGTCGAATCGTAAAAACCGCGGTCGAACCGCTATTGAATCGGTTTTCAAACTTCTTCTTTTTTTTTTTTTTTTTTTTGCAAAATGCAGCTATCAAGATTCAAACTCAAGACCTTTGTAATAGAAGACCAATGTATTAACCGTGGCACCATCACATCCTATTAGTTTTTTTTGATAACTTATTTATATAAAGCAAACACTCATATTTCTTTTTTCCAGTTTTCTTACAAAATCTTATTCTCTCATGGCTCTTTCTTTTTAATTTTCAACTCTCTCTCTCTCTCTATCCTCTTTTTTTTTGTCACTCATTTTTTAATCAGACCTCTTTATTTTTAATTTATTGATGTTTTCTTCCATCTTTTAATTTTGTTTTTGTCCATTAAATTGAAAAAAGTTCAAAAAGAATTATTTTTTAACCCAAATTATTTAATGTTACAACCACTCACTTTTATCTCATTTTTTGTTTCTTATCAAGTTTACATTTCTATTTTCTATTTTTTTAAATTGCAATCTCTAAAACGTAAATTAAAATTTAAGTTCACAATATCTAAATTCTCATAGACGTGAATTTTGTATAATTTCAAAATATTGTGATATTTTTGGGTTGGATTTATATATAATTGAAATTGAGATGAAATTTATTTGTTTTAACTTATAATTTAAAAATTTTATTTTTAAAAAATCCAAGTTATTAAAAAATAGTAAACCTTTCATCATATAAAGTATTAAATTAATCCATTACATGTCTTATTTTGTACATATATATATTTATATAAATAAATTTTTAAAAAATTCATTGAACCGAGGTTGAACCGGTCCGACCGGTTGAACCTCGACCCTTTCACTTCACCGGTTCAATGAACGGTCCGGTTTTTAAAACATTGCTGATGGGCTGCCTCTTTTATGCTAATGAAAAAATTGATGGTTACATTAGAGGATAAGCTAGTCATTTTGCGTCCACAAACAGTATTTAAGATGCTGATGCACCACGCACCAATTACATAAAAAGAGGGTACAGTAGTCATGTTATGCTAAAGTCCCCATTAGGGCTATAGATGAATGGAACCCTTAACTAATAGTTTAGCCTTGATTCCAGTTCGATTTTCAATGAACTTGAGGTCGAATTCAAATAAGAATTAACATTCATTTATAGTATCAAATTGAGTTCAAACTTGCAGATACTCGGCTCATTAAGGCTCAATTCGATTCCAATAATTTTTGATATTTTTTATTTAAAATATCAGTTTGTAACAATTTAATATTAAAATTGAAAGATTAAATAAAATTTTGAGCCCTCGAATTGAGCTTGAACGCATCGAATATTAAATCGAATAGATGTCGAGTTTAGATTTTGAGCTCGTATAAGATTCGAGTTCAAACTCAAAACTTTGAATGGAACTCGAACTGTGAAAAGTTTGATTCAATTCGATTCATGTACAACCCTAGTTCCCATCACAAAATTGTAAATTAGTTTAACCTATTGCACTATCATACTTGTCATTCCTTAACTACGCCTAAAAGTAAAATCCAAACTCCATTTATATATGCATATGAATCAAAGAGTTTGGCTAACTGGTGCCCCGGGCCAATCAAAAGGGTTTCATGTGCTAATTTTTTAGTAAAAATAAATTAATTTGAGAAAGTGTATTATATGCAGGGGTACAATAAGTCTGAATGTATGTATTTACATCACATCTTTCTCGAATTTCAATTGTACCTTCAGTTGTCATCTTTGGTCTAATTTAATTTTGCTTTTCTTTTTAACCATAACCACACGACCGAAAAACAGAACTTCTGCGGGGAATATGTACTCTCTGCCTCTCACGTTTTCCACTGAAATCCTTTGTCATCATTAATTTGAGAGGTTTGTAATAAGTTTCCTTTGCAATTAGTCACATTCAGATTTCGTGATTTTGTTTGCAAAAATTTTGTTCCAAATTATAATTTACCAGTACCGTTACAGAGTACTATGATGGAAACCGTGAAGGCGACAAAAACACCAACAATCTGAATCACCTTTCCGATGATGATGATGACGATAAGCAAGTTTATTAATTTTTTTTTTTGGAATAAAAACATCATCAGGATCTTATATGATCCAGCCATAAGGCTATCTGACTTGTCTGATATCACAAGACAGGCGAGGTTGTATGTGGCTCCCCCCGGCGTCATAATTTTTCTTTAGCATCTCCAGAATTCTCATGGATGCTATTTTTTCTGCTGTCTTCTTGTTTGCTGCAGTTAGTCCACAAACATAAATGGCACCATTTGCATTAACCTCAAGCTTGCCATCCTCCTCCTTCTTGACAAAGTTCTCCTTCTCACACAATTCCTTCAGTTCCCTCCCAGGTTGTAGCTTTAGTGTCTCAGGGGTAACCAGAGGCTCAAGAAGTGGCTTTATGCTTTGAAATACAACCTCTTTGTCATATCCAGAATCAACGTATATAGCCCCGGCAAGAGATTCTATAATATCTGCAAGAATCTGAAAAATATGAGGTTGTTAGCAACTAAATAGTCAAAGAAACATCAAAAAAAATTAGCTTATGATATCATAAGCAACACTGTGCCAGAGCTAAAATAATAAAGATTGTTTTTTATTTTACATCAAAGATGGAGGATTACCTTGATTACCGGCTCTGACTCCCACCCAGAAGTCGAGTCTTGTGATGATTGCTTAAAATTTTTAACAATAGCGAGAATGCGCGGCTTCAGGTGTTGTGAATCGTGTAGTAGAATGTGCTGATGAAGTCCAGCTTTAATTGCAGCTCGTGCATAGCAGTCATTGTTCACAGAAGCTGACCTTAAATCTGTTAATAATCGAGAAGACAAATTGGGATGCTCATTATGGAGGTGCATGGTGATGAGATAATCCAGCACCGCATCCCCAAGAAATTCTAGACGCTGCAAATTCCATTGAAATGGGAACATAGGTAAACATGAAAGATCCACAATAATATCTTTACTAGAAGGCATGCCAGTGATATCTTCTGCAGTATGGAACTATTGACAAATTCAAACTAGTGCATGATATAAGGATCATGTAAGCAATCTAGCCATTGAAGAACCAGAGCATGCAAACCCCTCCTATGTAAATTTTCCCAACAGACATAGTTTTGCACTTAATCAAGTAATCGTGTGCGGAAAGACATATATCTCCAGGGCTATTATCAACTAAACAAGTAATAATCTGGTGGCTCCGAAATACATATGGTAATTCAAATAGACTCGAATGATCTGGCGAACCTGTAAGTAACTAATCAATTCGACCAAAAAAGTACAACTAATACCACTTCTTGTAGTATGAAATATGGCACTAGACTTCAAAAAGCTGATCTCTGCAAGCAAATAATATCACCATACACATCAAACAGCTTCTCTTTTGGTGCAATATATATATGTTGAACCACTAAAATGAATACTGGGAAAAATACTAAAGCCGGACGAGCAACCAAAAAGATATTTCAGTAGATGAGATTTAAGTGCTTCACAATTTTGCAGGAAATCAAAGCTTGACATAACAAAAAAACATGCCTATGCACAATCAAGTTGAGAAAATAAAACAGAGGAAATACTGAAGACATTCCCAACAAGATCATAAATTGTTCAAAAAACAAGTAGAATGGTTTACCGTTATAACAACATGAGAAAAAGCAAGGGCAGAGATTACCTTATAGCATCTGGGGTTCTCAGGTCGCTTGTATGAACCATGAGTAAGTGCTTCAACAAGGAGAGAAGCATCATGGAATGAGTATTGATTCAATAGCGTCTCGAAAAATCTGAGATCGACCACCTCCCCTGGATTTGCAGGGAGTGGCCTTATGTAAGGCACATAAATAGAGTCAACTTCAATACCGAGCCACTCCATAAACGCTAAGGCTGCTATTTCACTGGTAGAGCAAAGGAATACACCAATGAGGGCCTCAATTACATCAGCAACGGTCTTCATTTCAATCATCCTCTTCTTCCTGTCATAAATAGTTCTGCTAGGTGAAAGCTGCTCTTTCTCCAGTGTGTAGGTTCTAGAGTTATCACCAGGTATGATCCATGTTTTAGGATCAAAACGATCAATGCGGATAAAGCCCTAAAGTCGAAAACTGAAATCCGATGAGCAAATAGAACAGTTTGTGTATATTGCTCAAGGCAATTGTTGAGATGCCTTGAATTAGATCTTCGATCCAATACTCAAGTCATAAAGCAAAACAAATATTACTGTAAGCTGAAGAAACTTCATGAGAGTAAACTGAATTGATCAAGTATGTATAATAAATTGAGTTGACTGTTGAGGTCGTCTTGATCTAGTAGCTAAGGTTGAGATCCACGAATTAAAGGCCTTGGGTTCAATTCCCGTCTGCCCCCCTCCCCACCCCTCTCCTACTGAAAAAAAATTGAGTTGACTAATTTGGCAATTCTGTTTTGGGGTGCTCTCCATGAAAAAGTTTAAATACACCAATTGTGATGTTTTGATGATGCAATTACAATATGCCTCCAACCTTCAATCCCCACTTTTGATCCATCCCAACTATTCAAGTTATCAGTATAGTTTCTTTTCTTTTAGACAGTCTGAAAGTAAGTGCAGTTAATATTCAATTTCTTAATCTACCTAAAATTTCTGCATATCTCTTCCTTGTCTAGACTTTCGTTTCGACCTCTCTTCCTGAGAGTCTCTCTTGCGAAAAGTTCATAATGGACACTACAATAAAACAGTAACTTAAAAAAAGAAAAAAGTTACCGGTATCTTCTTATGGCATCCTAGCTTGCATAGTGCTTTGTTGGAGATGATTTTTTTCCTGTCCTCCGTAAGAAGACCTATGTTGTGATTTTGATGTCTCTTGAATAGTTGTTGACTCACAGCATATTTCAAAAAGGAGTCTCCAAGGGTTGCCAATGGTGTCAAATTCAAATTCTCTTGACAATTTTTAGTCGTAATTGCTTCCACGACCTAAAAGCAGAAATACATTAGCACAGAGAAATCTGTTGAAATTCTCTTCAATAGTGCGAGTCTACCAGATTTGTCAAGAATATTTGACTATAAAATGGACGGTAAATTAGTTCCAAAACAAAAAATATAGACGTAAATGTGCATATGTTAGTTTCAAAATATTTATGAGGCAACTCCTAGCTACTACTTTCAACTTTGGGTCCTTTGCGGACAAGCCAATGAAGAAAAAAGAACAAAAAGCTGGTAAGAATGCTTTTCATAAAGATTGAGACATTAAAACTGAACTTCAGGTTTTAAAGTATCTACCAGCTTGCTTTAATTTACAACTAATGCTAGTACACTCAAATATTTATGTAGGTTTGATGGACAAATAACCTCATCTTGTTCTGTTACCTTTGACAAGCTAGGCTGTGCATAGCTTATGGTTAAAATTAGGACAAATTACATTTTATCCTCCTGTGGTTTAGCGTTTTTTTACATAATCCCCTTATAATTTCAAAAACTATACATAACTCCCTCATGGTTTGGATTAAGGTGTCAAAGTGACGGAAATGATCATTCATAACGGAATCACCTAAATTGTCAAAACAACCCTTATGTAAAGTTGAAAATTATTTATTAACCAAGGAGAGTTATGTGTATATTTTGAAAACCATAAGGGGGTTATATGGTAAAATATTAAATCATAAGGGGGTAATATGGTAAAATATAAAAATCATATGGGGTTAATGTGTCATGTATTTATAAGGGTAATTTTGACATTTTTAGAAGTTCCGTTACGAATGACTATTTCTGTCACTTTGACACTTTAATCAAAATCATGAGGGGATTATATATAGTTTTTGAAACTATAAGGGGGTTATGTAAAAAAATACTAAACCACATAAGGGTAAACAGGAATTTGCCCTTAAAATTAAAAAGCCTGCTGTAATGCAATACAGATTCTACCTATAAGATCAAACCTTTGACTTTCCATTCTAACAGCTGTTTTTGGCAGCAGTTTTCTAAAATAAGCTCATGCCTATCCGTGTAAACTAGTTAGAGGAATTATCAATCTATATCCAGTACAAAAAAATAACCATAGCATTATTTGTTGAATCACATTGAAGCAAGCTTGCAACACAGTTGTGTTTTACTATGATTAAGTTATAGGAAGATGGGAACAGAGAACAAGAAAGGAAATGAGAAGGAAACTTTTCATTTTTTGGCTTGAGTGAAGAATAAAGTAAATAAAAAGAGTGTAGAAACCAAATTCTTCTCCCTTTGGGCCCCTACCACAGTTACATAGTCTAGCCATGAGCAAAAGCAGATCAAAGTTTGGTGAAACTGTTCCCTTGCTAGTGCAGTCTATGTTTCTTATATAGAGGTTCTTATGCTTTGCAGTAATGAATCAATGGTTTTGCAGAAACTTCTCTTCGAATTAGTTTGCCGTTAAGCTAAGAAGGTTGGATTTAGCTGCAATTGTCTACGAGTAATGCAGAGCAAGGTATTATGAACTATTCCAGGTTATAATTTGTTCACCTATGTTCATACTTGAATCTGTGGTCCATAATGTGAGACATATGATGGCTTCATGGAGGAATGTCATCCTTTCATCCTTAACAAGGATCATTGGGACTGGTATTGGAATGAAGGAATTCCAAACAGCTGTTTTCTAGTAATTTTTATTGGGTTTTATATTGGAAATGAAGATACTCCTTCACAGATAGATAGCTAGCATATCTAAAATGTATGTTAGGGAGCTATGTTCTCTGCAACTCATTTGCAACATATTAATAAATGTTTCTATGTATCGCCCAAAAAAAAAAAAAAGATTCGTGAAACCCTTTGCTGTACCCTTTGCTATTGTTTTTAGTCTGCTCCAGTTAAAGGCAATGTTTTAAAAATCGGATTGGACCAATCGGTTCGACCGACTGAACTGTAAACCAGCCATGCTTCCAACTAGTTCAATTAAAAACTCAAAGAATTAATTGAATCAAAAAAAATTGGGAGATTCAACCGATTTTATTAAGTATTTATTTTTTAAAATAAATATTTTAGTTTTATTCAAAATGTTTAATACTAAAATGAATAAAAAATTATTAAACCTTTGAACCTGGATCAAACCGTGAACCGAAAGGTTTTCCGGTTCACTCCCCGGTCTGAGTTTAAAAACATTGGTTAAAGGGGAGGAAATGGGGCTTAAACCCTCATTATATGATGTAAAGCTCTAACCAACTCAGCTTGTTCATTGCATGACAGAAAACTTTTCTTTGTTCAAGCATGGAAGGATCTCAAGGTAAGTTTTCCACTAGTCCTAATATGACAAGCACACAAGAAAAATAACATAAAATAAAATGAGAGACCATCTTAGTATAGTTTCTAAGCCATATATAGTTGGAGGATAAACCTTGATCGTCGGAATTATATCATTTTGCGTACAGTGGTCCACGAGCATTCTTTTCAAGTTGCCAGCTATTAAGAAGGACTCTATCCGGTGTATGATAGATGGAGCATATGAGAAGGAAAAAATTGAGGCAATGGATATAGGAGACATGATCACTTCACAAAGTTCTGGAGGCAACTCAACTGATGCATTTCTTGAGCCTACAAGGGTTGTAAAAGAAAAGAAAGAAAAAAGAAAAAGGTCACCAACCATAAGAAATTTTGTGATTATCAAATCATAATGGAGCCTACCATTGTAGTCAGATACTCTTAACCAGTTGAACTACCCTATCATTGTAGTCAGATGCTCTTAACCAGTTGAACTAGTATCCAAGAACGGGGGTAGAAGCCCCAGAGAACATCAAAACAATAAAGAAAAGGAGCTGTATAACACCAGGGCATATTCAACTTCCTTAGTCATATCAATGCAACTATAACAGATTTAGGGTGAGAAAACTAAGAACTCAATCTATAAAATTTAGATACGAAAACAAAAGCTTTGACGAAATTGAATGAAAGAATGTTCTTGAGGAAATCAGTAACATCTTTAAACCTCAACAAGCATCATCTCCATCTGCAAATAGAGTAACAAAAAGAAGCGGGGTTCCAAACTCTCTTTGTTGCAGTAAGTTTTGAAAGATGTATACAGGGTAATAGCCTTTACTTAACCCTTAGATTGAGATTATAGACTGCAAAATTTGTGCTTCACAAGTTCCTTTAAGGCACTTCAGTAAACCGAAAACAAGTACAAACGTAGAGCCAAATCTGAAACGTAGCTAAATGATTCACCAACCTTTTGTCTTTTGATTCCTACATCCCAGAAGATAGTTCTGCACCGTAAACAGATGCTGTCCACTAAGAAATGGTTCTTCCTCGAAGCGCAATGTGATCCCATGCCTACAATGACATTTTATCACACACAACCTTGACTTCAGCCTACAATATTTGCATACGAAATTTTCTTTTACATACCGTTTTGCAAAGTTTGCTTTATATCTTTTATACATACCATTTTCTTTTCCGCTTTAGCAATGAATTGCTGTTCAAATCATCCAAAATGCCAGTAGTGCAATACATGATACCATCATGAGGAGTCACTACCAAAGAATTCTGCAATGTGCAGCTGCAGATCAATCCATTGACTGTGTGCACGTAGCGACCTTGAACTCTGTTAGAACAACAATCCATATGCTTATCTGAAATGTTTTCCTGAGGAAATAGAACAGAACTAACACACGTCCAATCAATTGATGGATTTTCATGCAGGCCTGTAGATGGAATCAGAAGATAATCAAAGACGTCACGTTGACTGTTTTGATTTAATCCACTCAATGCTTCCTGCAGCTTATTCTGATTGTGATCAAGGAGTAGCCTTAAAAGTGTAACTTGAAACTTCTGGCAAAGAAGAACCTGGCAAAAGAGATGTCGCATGATCAAAATAGGACTAAATTCTCTGTCTAATACTTAATATGTGATAGGAAAATTATTTTGGCATTGTCATTTTATATATTTACCTCTTCAGACGTTAGTTTAATATGTGTAACATATTTCATTCGTATCTTTAAGTTGCCTCTGTCAACATCTAACTCAAAAGTCAATGTCTCATCATCAAATTCAAGCCTAGCTCTTGTAGCAAGCAAAATATCGTGAGGCATGGTATCACAACTATAACCAGGCTGAAGAGCAATTAGGTAGCAATGATATAATATCTCAGAATCATTCCCAGGACGACCAACCAATTCCCAAGGGACATAGTGCATCTGTTCCTCCTCATATGCTTGATCACCTATTCATTCAGATGAAGCGAATTATTAAAAGAACAAAAAAAAACTGGTAACAACTATAAAACTAGAAAGAAAAACAAAGAACTGTTATTCCTTTTTTTTTAGGTAAATTAATAAGAAGGAAATGTACTCAAAACTTACACTGCTTTAGAGCCTCTACATTGTCCTCAACTACCATGGCTCCGTTTGGATTCACCTGCTTTTCAAAAATTATTTTTTCAAATACTCTAAAATTTTTTTAAAAGTACTCTAACTTTTTTTAAAAAATTTTAAAAGGTACCTCAAAATAGATTCCAAAAACTGCTTCAAAAACACCACAAAAAACATTTATGGCAAAATTTTTTGAAAAACTCTGCTGTAGTAAAAAACCACCTTTAAAAACAAATAATCCAAATGGAATTCATTGGTTTCTTTTGTTCTCTCTATTTCAAAAAAAGGGATTGTGTCAGAACCCTGAACAGAATTTAAGTAAAAAAGAATTTGATTTCAACAATTGAGAATCTAAAGCAGCTGCTTTTGCCTGAACAGTAAGAAGAACTAATCAAACTTACACCATGATTTCTAATATGTTATTTTCACACTCTATTCTAAGAACAACAAAGACATGAATATCCCTTAATACGACTAAGGGATAAAGATATGAATACCCCTTAATACAACTAAGCAGAGACCTCTTTCGATAGAGTAGCAAGGATTCAATTTAGAAACTCAGAGAAACTACACAAAGGGTACAAGTATAAAGCAGAAAAATTGATTAACTAACATCATATCTTTCATGCAGCGAATTATTAAGAGAAGCAAAAGAACTAATAAACTTGGTAACGAGGAAAGCTTCTTACAGTAGTACAAAAACCTCAGTGCAGATACACAATTCGCAATGATCAGAGCCAGAGGGAGAAATGAAAGGATTTTTATAGGCTTGTTTTGCTTTGGCAGCAAGGAAGATACAGTGAGAGTAACACTAAACATTGGGGCTAAAAGACCACTAATAAAAAGTCTCTTTGTTTTGGTCTTGAAAGTGAAATGGGGGAGACTTCAGCTTGACTTTTGCATTTGTCCAGCACGTCAGCTTGCGGAGAGGAACTTCACAGGACACTTCCCAAGGCTGTAACCGTAAGAGATTGTTTGTATTTCTTTGAGGTCTAGATTCTACCATATTCTCAAACGTTATTGAGGATTTTCACACTTGAGGGTGATATGTGACCATCTGCCTAACTTTTTTTTTTTTTTTTTTAATTTTCATTCCCCCTCCCTAATCCCTCAGCCAAGTTCGAACCTGGTCTGCCAGGTGAGGCATGAAGCAATTGGCCAACATTTGTGTGCCCAACCAATGCCAATAAGATTTTCACTGTTTCACATTTCTTAAGTGCTGCTCTGTATCATTGCATAGCTGTGTTCTATTATTATTTAATCAAACGGTTTGGTTAACCGGTGTCCCGTGTCAATTGAGAGGGTTGCATGTATTAATTTTTTAAAACAAATGTGAATTAATTTGAGAAAGCATTTTAAATACAAGGATATAATAAATATGGTGTGTATTTTTACATGATAATCTCAGTATATAATTTAAATATACTAACGAGTGCTTCGAAGCACTCGCTGAAAAGGGATCCTTAAATCCAAAAATTAGCCTTGGGTTGAATATAATTAGTGGGGAATCTTAAGATGGATTACTTTAAGCAGGGATTGAATCTTGTTATTTTCATGTGAATTTGACCGTATTTATTCGCACACCCTTTCTCCAATGTTCCTCAACCACTTTTTTGGGCAGTGACATGTTCCTGGAAGACCATGACTGGATTCCATTTTTATGTTAAACGTGGACGAGCTCTTCTCCAATCGCAATTTGTACTGAAATCAACCCTTTTGTAATAAATTCTCGACTTGCCAAAATAATTTGGCTAAAACTTGAGAGGTTATTCGATATTGCCATGAATAATTTCACCGAATAAGTAAAAAATGGTCACCATCGTACGTTGCCAAATTAGTTCTCTTAGGTCCAATTGAGTTTTGCTTTTCTTTTTTTAATCATAATCACAAAAAACGATCAAAAAAGAAATTTTCTGTGTGGAATGTATACTCTCTGCCTCTCACGTTTTCCACTGAAATTCTTTTGTCATCATTAATTTTTGAGGTTTGTAACAAGTTTCCTTTGCAATTAGTAACATTTTGCGAAAATTTGTTCCAATGTAGTTTACCAAATGTTGTTACAAAAGACAATCACGGAAAATCGTGAAGGCGACATATAAATACCAACAGATCTGAATCTCCTGGATTGATCCACATACTTTTTTGAAAAGTAATTTTTTTTCAAAAAATTTTTATTTTTTATAAAAATATTTCTCAATTACTTTCTTACCTCGCAAAGACTCGAGGTAGAGATGAGGACCTATTGGCTTGTTCTGCTTTGGCAGCAAGGAAGATACGTGGAAGTTAGCTTATAGTGGGGCTAAAATACCACTAATGACTAATGAGTCCTTTTGTCTAGATCTTGAAAGTGAGAGGAATAGACTTTTGCTTGATTTTTGCTTTTGTCCAGCACTTCAGCAAGTGGAGAGGAACTTCGGAAGACATTTCCTAAGGCTGCAGTAGGATGTAAGCCAGCCGAACCACTGTCGAGTAGCTCGTGAATAGTTTGGTCAATAATTTGGTTTGAACTCGGTCAAATCGAGTTTGAGCCGAGTCTCGAGTCACTCGAATATACTTTCGAGTCGAGTTCGAGTCAGGAATTTGCGACTTATGGCTCGACAAGTAGCTCGTCGAGCCGGATATATTTAATTAATATATATAATTTAAATAATATATATGTATTATAATTATGAAATAACTGTTATGTGTATAATTTATACTGAATTTACAAATGTACATTTTTCGAGTCGAATCAAAAAGCTTGATTAGACTCGACTTGATAAGGCTTGCCTGAAGTCGAGCCTTATCGAGTCGAGTCTCGAGTTTAAAGGGAGTTCATCAAGTCAAGCCTCAAGTATCGATTTTTTGGACTCAGTCGAGCTCGAGCCTAAGTACATATGAGTCGAGTCGATTATCGAGTATAGCAATATTCGAGCTTGATTTGGCTCGATTACATCCCTAGGCTGCGGTAGTATGAGATTGTCTGTATTCGATTAAGGTCTAGAATCTACCACAGGTTCCCAAACATTTTTATTGAGGATTTTCACATTTGAGGATGACATGTGATGTAACTATGTGCCTAAAGACAGGTGATTGATCCGGTTAAGACACCGATTTCTGGTTTAATCGGTCGAGTCACCGATTCATTGTTTTTAAAAATTAAAAAAAAATTAAAATTCATTATTTCTATTGCCCGGTGATAGTCCTGTGCAGAATAAGCCCAGATTCAAACTTTTCATACCTTCAAGCTTTAGCTTCATCTTTATCATAGAGAGATAAGTTTTAAATCTTAATAAATAAATAAAAAAAGAGAGCTCATCCAAGGATTTTCGTACCTTTAGGCCTCATCTTCATCACAAAGAGATAAGTTTCAAATCTTAAGAGAGAGAGAGAGAGAGAGAGCTCATGCCAATAAGATTTTCACATTTTAGGATTTTTCATAGCTCTTAAGTATTGCTCCATGTTAGTACACAGTTGCGTGTTTAATTGTTACTTAATCAAAGGGTTTGGCAAATGGGTATCTCTGGTCAATCAAGAAAGTTTCACGTCTTAATTTTTTGGCAAAAAAGAATTAATTTGAGAAAGTGTTTAAATGTAGAGATCTAATAACTGTGACGCGGTAGTTTTATTTAATGTCACATGACCCCTTAACATTTTAAAATATTCACTTCACTCCCTAAAATTTTATGTAAAATAGGAACTTGACGGAAAATAGTCTATAGAATGTCGTTGATTGAAATACCAATAGTGTCTTTACTTAAATGATAAACCAATCAACAGTTTAATTACCTTATATAAAAATATATAGGGATTTTATGGATAAATAGAAAAAATACTAGAGGGTAAAATAGACATTTAAACAAATCATACAGGGGTTACATAGAGATTAAGATTTTATTGCATGTGCTTTTAGAGTACATTTGGTATAAATACTGTAACTGATTGTGCATTCCATCTTTTTTCACTTTACATAAAATCATAAGATAGTTATGGGGCTATTTTGAAAATTTAGGAGGTTCATTTGGCATTATGTAAAATTAGAGGGAGCAATTACCCTTAGGATAATGATTGATTCCAATAAACCCCTCAAAAAATCTTTCTCACGTCACATCTCTGAATGTATAATTCAATCAATCGACTCTTGTATAAAATGAAATTTTTTGTCTTTTATTTTTAAAATGTTAACTTTATGTCCCTACAAATTCAAGTTAGCAAATTTTAGTCTTAACTTAGGTTTTTGACTATTTTCTAGTTTGAAATTACCATGTGACCCATATGTAATTATTTTTGATGTACAAAAAAGGTCATATCTCATTTTTGTAATGGCAAAATGAATATGGATTGGATCCAATCCCACTTTTGTAGGGAAAAATGAATATGGTTCAGATCAGATTTTACTTTTTTTTAGGGATAGAAATGAATATAAATCAGATTATTTGTTTAGTTACGAATGGTATTTAACCTTTTTGCTTCTAAGAAAATAATTATATGTGAGTCACGTGATGGATTCAGGATAAAAAGTAATTGAAAACTTACGTTGAAATCAAATTTTACTGATTTGATTTTTTAAGTGACATAAAGTTACTATTTTAAAAGTGAAAAATGAAAAATTTTATTTGACAAAATGTAAGAAACATTTTTAATGATTTTCTCAAAAAAAAAAACTGTCATAACATCTTAAAGACCATTATGCATAACAGACGGACCACGGCTTCGATAATTTCCGCCCAAAACCTTTGAAGCCGAGGTATTGGAACGATCTTATTAGGGCCTATGCAACGTCCAAGGGAGGTTTGCAAAGAGAGGCCCGACGAATTTTCCTGGCAATGAGGCGTTCTGGAGCTTTGCCCAATGGACACACCTTCCCTTTCCTATTCCAGGCGTGTGCTTCCGTCTTAGGTCTCTATGATGGGAGCAGGGGCGTCAATGGGTCGGGTCTGGGTCTAGATTCGACTCGGATTCGATAAATTTTTTTGAATTTGTATTGAAAAATAATTTCGATATTCGGACCTAAATCCAAATTCGTTTACTCTAATAAAAAATGGGTCGGATACGGATTAATTGTGGTTAATAATTATAAAATATAAATATTTCTAAATACATTCTTTTATCAAATTAACAATTTAGTAATGACTTTGTAGATTAATTGTAGTTAGTTTGAAATGACTATTGCGAGTTATTTGTGATTTAACTTTATAATTTGATTTGTTTAAATTTAGAGATTGGATTTATAATTGATTTTGGATTTAATTTTGAAATATTTAAATTTAGACCGGATCCGACCCAGACCCAGTCCGGGATTCTAAGATCAAGACCCGACAGGTATGCAGTCGGTCCGGGTCTACTACATAAAAAATGGGTCCGGTCCGAAATTTTCAATTCCAACCCATTGACACCCTAGATGGGAGGCAGATCCATGTCAGGAAGCGTGGTTTGGATGCAAATGTGTACGTCCAGAATACTTTGATTCACTTTTATGGGTGTTGTGGGAAAATTATCGATGCGCACAAGGCGTTTGATGAAATGTCCTACAGGACTGTAGTATCTTGTAATTCAATTCTTTCTGCTTTCGTTGAAAATTCATGGATCAGAGAAGCAATTGAGGTTTTTTTAAGCATGAGGAGTTCCAGGTTGCTACCGGATGAGACTACTAGGGCGATTCTGCTTTCAATGTGCAGAGATGGGCAACTTGAGTTTGGGAAAATGGATGCATTCTCGAGTTATTGTTACAGCTATGGTTGTCAATTGTCAGTTGGGCACAGCTCTCGTTGACATGTATGGAAAATGTGGAATTGTGGGTTATGCTAGACTCGTTTCCAATGGGATGAGTGAGCGAAATATCTGGACTT